TTTTTTATACGCTGCTAACATCGTGCTGTGCTTGGAGATTCTTGAAATTAAGATTCTCAAACTATACTTGTACTGAAAATTATTCCGCCTTAAAATACTGCGAGAATTTATCGATCGAATTTACTTGATTGAAACATGAACTTAACATGAAATTTGCTATAGAATTTAGGAATACATATATTAATTCCATAAATCCTCCATTCACAATATAACATAATATTTTCTAAGAAAATCCTTGGCTTAAAAATACATGAATTGTATTATTTAAGGTCTGGAATTTTCTCAGTCATTACAGTTTCACAATCAACAACCCTAGCGAGAACCGTCTCGGTCATGGAAGAGAGCAGCCAAGACACCAACAGCTGATCCTGTTGCTCCCAGTTCAAGAAATCTTGATTAATCTGTCCTGCGGCTTCATCTGCGACACTAAGAAACTTCAACGGCGGAGAGCTCGAATCAGAGATGAAATCCAACAGCTTGTGCCCTCGAATCGTCAAAAGGGCTAATTTTCTCCACGTAAGGAAATTAGAGTGATCAAGTCTAATCGAGATCGAATGGCTAAAAGAAACGGGACTGAATCGCACAGAAGAATTGGAAGCTTCAGCCATGGCGGACAAGGGACCGCTTTCTCTAGAATCTTGAGGCTCTGATACCATATTGAGTTTCAAGAAAGAAAGCTGAGATATTTTCTAATGAATGAAAATAATCTTTTTCATTATTGAATAAGCTATACAGTAATACCTTAAATAGCTCTCATAAGCTCTAACTAATTACAACCAAGGCCAATGCCTTGCTGACACGTGTACACTAATCTAACTAACTAATAACAACATAACTAATCAGTTATCTCTAACACTTTATATTACAGGAACTTAACAAGTTAAGAGGCATTGATCTAAGACAATCCATTTACCTAACTCAAATTCCGGATCTCTCTAGCGCTCGAAATCTTGAGAGAATAAATCTTGCATATTGCAGAAGTTTGCTTCAATTTCCTTTGCATATTCTGCGAAATCTTAACAGGCATATTGAAGTGAATCTAAGCTACTGTGACAAGCTTCAAAGTCTTCCTCTCGAAGGTTCTAACCTTGACACTTTCCCAATGAATATATCCAGGAGCATGGTGTCGTTAGATTTAAGTTCTACTGGAATTATGTCTTTGCCTTCATCAATTGATTCCCTTAATAATCTTTCTAAATTGTCTCTCAATAACTGCACAAGACTTGCAAATCTTCCGAGCTTTATGAATAAGTTGGACTCTCTGAAAGAGCTCAACTTAGGAGGTTGCTCGATTCTTGAGACATTTCCAGAGGTTCCATTAAATATTAAATCCTTGGATATTCATGGCACGGCAATAAAAGAAGTGGCATCGTCATCAATTGAGGGTCGATTCGATCTCCAATACATCAATATGTTAAATTGTAAAAGTCTTGCGAGTTTGCCGTCGAACATTTTTAAGATGAGGTCACTTATTGATCTTAATCTTGATGGTTGCTCAAATTTGAAGAACCTTCCGGAAATCTCAGAGCCTATGAAGAGCTTAGAAATCCTTCATTTAAGCAGAACAGGGATTAGAGAGCTACCATCATCGATAGGATATCTAATTAGCGTTCAAGAATTGGAGGTTATGGAGTGCGAAAATCTCGAGTCTGTCCCGACCAATATATGCACAATGGCTGCGCTTTCGGATCTCGATCTTTCAGATTGTCCAAGACTCGAATATTTTCCTATGCCAAGTGGTTTCCTCCGCTGGGATTTGGAACATCTTCATCTGAGTAACTCTAATATAATAGAACTCCCTAGAAGCATCAAAGGACTTTCTAAGCTGAGACAGATTCACGTAAACAATTGCAAGAATCTGCGTTCTATACCAGAGCTTCCATTGGGCTTGCAAATTCTCCATGCAAATGGATGCTCGTCATTGGAGATCGTGTCAAATTCTAAGAGAGCACTCACACAAGAGTTCTGGGATTATGTTGATATTGAAGGGGATGATATTGATCTTGAATTTTCAACGTTCGCTGATTGCTTGAAATTAGATCAGAAGCAGCGTCAGAATATTTTAATTGATTTCCAGCTTCGAGTTTTTCGGACGGTTACGCAATTTGTATATGGAGACAATGAGGTACGTTTAATTTGTTTAATGTTAAGTTTTTCTTCTTCTTTTTTTTTTTTTTTTTCAGATGAACTCTTTATGCAATCGAAATAAAGCATGACTACCTTTATGTTACAGAGTTTGCCTTCTTCAAATATTTCGTGTTTTCCGGGGAATGAAATTCCGAAGTGGTTCGAGTATCAATCAGAGGGATCTTATATGAAGCTTCCACTAGAATGGCAGAATTCCAACTTCTTGGGTTTTGTGTTGTGTACAGTTGGTTACTCTTATTCGGACATCAAATTAAAGCTGGATTTAAGATGTGAAATCAGTCTCAGACAGGGCGAAAACGACGAATTTCCTTTGGAGTTTAGTGGTGTATGGGATCACTATTTTATAGTGTCATTTACATCACATTCAAGCAATTTGTGCATGTGGTATTGTGTTGGGGATTGGTCTGAATGTCTTGATGCAGTGGAAGCGTCATTTGACTTTTTGTTCATTGATTGGGATCAGAGCAAAGGTTACTGGGTTAAGTCTTCTAATGTGGAAGTGAAGAAGTGTGGGATCCACATGTTATATCAAAAGGATATAGAGGAATTCAGATTCAATTTCATTGACGCCGTTCAACATCTTGTGCTTGAGGAATCAGCTACAACTCCCGACCAGCCTGAATCCAGTGCACGTGGAACCGTCGACTTCGAAACAGATGAACCGCAACGCAAGAAAATCAAATTTACAGATTCCTGTGGCGGCTGATTATTTGATCTCTTCCAATAATGCATAGTCGGTAATTGCGAAAATGTATGAATATGGATTTTGATTTCCTTCAGCTACTTTAATTTGTGAACAATACAGTTTTGTAGTAGACTACGCTTTTATCTATAGTATTTACTTTTTTTTTTTACTTATTATTATTATTATTATTTTTGTGTGTGTTTATCCTTCTTTCAGGTTTATGGTGTTCGGAAAAGAGAACAGACATAATAAAACTAATGGTTATGCATTTTGCAGTTATGTTGCATTCTTCTCAAGAAATTGATAAAGTGGTAATGATAAATTTTTTGCGACGACAATTTTTGCGACGACAATTTCAAAAACTAAATTTTCTACTCTTTTTTTTTATTTTAATTCAGTTCAACGGTTTTGGAGTTTGCTTTGTAAAAAAATAAAAAATAAAAAACAATAATAGGCAAGTATCCTGAATTTTTCGTTGTAAGAACATTGACCTGCTTATGATTTTTGCAGTTATGTTGCATTCTTCTCAAGAAATTGATAAAGTGGTAATGATAAATTTTTTTTTTTTGAAGACAGGATTTCTGAGGCCGAAGTAAGTTGGAGCTGAGTTTGGTGGTCTGCTCCGTTAAAATCATTGTTTCTAATACGGACATCCCAATTTCAGAAATAAGAGGATATTGATGGAGATTAAAGTTGCTATTTGAATAATGATTTCTGTTCTGAAAGAAGGCAAGACTACTTTTATGTAAATTTGTTTTAATTTTGCCACGGCTTTTTATCTCTATTATTTCTTCTTGGTTTCTGATGACTGATTTTTGTACTTACTGAATGAATAGTGATATGTTAATTCAACCATAATATTTAGTATCTAGACAACGAGTATTTGGCTTTGTTTTGAAAATGTTGGCAGTTTCTGACATTGTTGGATCTGTTCACAACAAAGAATTGAGTAAGAAAGAATGTTCTTTTACTTGAGGATTTGTTGTAAAGTACAGATATGAGACTAATGTTTAAGGAAAACTAAGTATTTTTGTTATTGTTTGGTTATTAATAGCAAAAGTGTTGCTCGCATCCTGATGACTTTGTAAAAGAAGAAGCGTGGCTAAAGTTATTTCAAAGTTCGCAACTTTTGACGTCCGATGATAGCTTTTTTGTAGTGAAGAATGCTGGCTGTTTCTTGCACTGCTGGGTTTGTTGTGGTTAGCTCGATCGGCTAGAACACAGATGGATTAAGTTCGCGTGAATATCAATTCTTTTGTAGCATGTTTCTTACGACGGTGTAAGTCTGGCCCCTATTGTCTCTTGCAATGTGTTTTGAAATTGTTAATTTGCAATATAGCCAAAATGTTTGTTTTGATCCTTATTTCTTTTTTGTTTTCTAAATTAAGTGAAGTTACCAAAGCAAATCATAAAAGTCCTTATTAGGAGTATAATCTGTTTGTTTTCTCAGAGTGTCTGCGGATTGTTTCCTTGAGTTCTGTAGTTCATAGGGCGTAAAGTGTGTAGGGCCTTTGACACGATATTTTGCACAACAATCTCGGTAATGTCATCAACCAATTGATCTATTTATTCAACATATTTTCAAAATGGTTTTCGACTATTGAAATCCAATTTATCCCTTTTCCCGTTCATGGTTTTCCAACTGGAGTGTGTCCTTTTTTAACCAACTACATGACAAGCCATCAATTTTTGGCTCACACTTTGCGTTGGTTAGCTCTCTTGTTCAATATCGAAACTTGTTTTCTTCTTCCCAACTTCTTTGATTCGACGATGGCTTGGAATTTTGTATGTTTTGTCTCTGAAAATAGTGAAAAAAGGTTGTTCTGGCTATGCTTCCATGTTTATTTTAGTTATATGTCCTTTCAATTCTACTGTTCTGTATGCAGTAAAAAGAGAAGAAGTACCTAAAGATTGCTGCATTTTGGTGAAGTGCTGCATTTTGATACTTGTCTCGTGATACCAAAACAGAGATCGAAACCAGGAATCACCCAAATGAACCGAGTTAAATTGAAGTAAATAACAGATGAAAAGACTTTATGGTTTTTCCCAAAGGTAGTTTTCTGTAATTACCTAACATTAGCATTAGTTTGGGACTCAGAAGATGTTGATTTCTTCTCATAGATTTTCCTTTCTTTAGGTTAAACCAGAGTTTCCCCCAATAGAGTTGATACTGCTGTTTGTCAATTGATGATGCCTAATAAATCGGTTGCTGCTCGGAGACCAAGACTTCTAAAATCTGCCATATCAGCACTGAGTTTCCTAGAATGAATATTTGGATAATTTTTCATTGTACTTAAATGGTTTGACTATAAGTCATTGCCATATTGGATGGTGTAAATGTTGGTCTCCGAATCGAATTCGGCTGCGGAAGCGTGGGGTAGGCGGATCGTGTATAACAAAAATTTTCATAAAATCTTTGAGATATTCTATAGATTATATTAATTTATGCACGAATAAATTAATAACATAAATTTATATATTAAGAACTCAATGTCTTCCACGTCAATTCCTAGAATCCACGAAGACGTGTGTGCGGGCACACCTTAGACAAAACGGGTTAGAATAAACACTCAAATTTTCACAAACACCAACGCATGCATGATGTGAAATTTTTGGAGAAAAATTTTCCCTTCCCTCACTAAGAGAATTTCGGCCACCCCTTTTAAAATTAGGGCAAAAATTATTTTTTGAAAATTGTCTCGCGCAATTTTCTATTATTCTCTCATTTATAGAGTAGAAGTCAAACTTCTAGAAGGAATCCAATCTCTATCTCCAATATAAAACTTGTTAATTATCTCCTATTTAAATTTAGAACAAAATCTCCCACTCCCTTATCTTTAGTGTGGCCGGCCACCTTAGGGGATTCTCATCCCTGTGTGGCGCCAATATCAGATAGGGAAGGAAGAGAAAATCATTATTTATCTTGCAGTCCAATTTTGATTCAAATTCAAATTCCAATTTAAGTCAAACTTAAATTAATTTGAATTCTAAATTGAGCAACTTATCAAATAAGTTTCAATAGATAAATCTAGAGGTGTTCAAATTCAAATTTAAATAATCACATTATTTAAATAATAATTAATTCTCAATTAATTATTTTCGAGTGTTTAATTTTAGAATTCCGTAATTCTAAAATTCCCATTTTGCCCTTTGTGTCTGGTAGAATTACTAGGACGACGCGGGGACTAATGGACCTATAATCCCGAGCTCCAATAAAATTAATAATTAATTAAACACTTTAGTTACTCCACTATAAACTTGGAATTGCACTCTCGAAATTATAGATATAAATTACTTCTAAACTGTCAAGTGTCCATTTGATATAGTCACTGCATATAGATCGATCCTCCATAAATAATTCATAATTAGAGCTAGGTAAAATCTGTTAACCTCTCTAATTATATCTTTATCCTTGAGTACCATTGATTTTCTAATGGACAGTGATTCATAAAACACATTCATGAATCGGAGCTCCTACTGATCC